CGTGCGTGCGTGTGAGAGAGAGAGAGAGAGACAGGGTCACATCACAGTGGAGTCAGCTGTCTTAACCGTGGCTTGTGTACTGCAAACACATACCAGCTTCATCACTGTGTCTGTCACGCGACTCTGTTCCCCTTTCAGGCTCTGTCTTTACATTTATTTTGAAAGCTGAAGCTCGTGATTATGGTAAGGGGCGTTACATTTCCAACGCGTGCTTGCGGTGTTCGGCCAATCACAATGCACTGGGTCAGCTGGCCAATCAGAGCAGACTGCGCTTGTCGGAAGGAGGGGGCTTTGTAGAAAATGAAGCGTTTGAGAGAGGCGGGGCATAGAGGACCTACAATAATGTACAGTATTTGAAAAATAATGTGTTTTTTGAACATTAAAGCATGTCAACATATTCTGTTACACCAAATACACCAAATGATCTTTAAAAAAGCATCATATGACCCCTTTAAGTCCTTCTCTCGCAGATGCCGTCTTATGGTTATTGGGCTGCAGTCAGCATCAGTAAGGGCCTTAATTTTGGGTCGAGGATCGGCTGTCTGTCATATCCAATGACTGTCTTACTGCATCCAACCTCTGCAGCGATGGCGCGTTGCGAGAGCCCTTGCTTGTGCAGCTCAACAATCCTGCCACGTTCAAAGACGGAAATCATTTTTGCCTTTGCCATCAGGAGATCATGACAGTGTGACTGCCTGAAGGACAATGACATGAAAGCCATATTTTTGCGCAGATTTTAACTTTTTAAAGCTATGGTCTTAAACTTTTGATCAGATGATGAACAGCCTGTTTGAGTTTAAATGCAGTTTTCAATAAATTGCCTACTCTCTATTTTTTGTCTCTTGCTCCTGTTTATTCTTTTGGCATTTTGAAGCAGTACTTACAACCTGGATATGATCCACCAGCACGAAATGCGAATACTTGTAATATTTCCCCCGGTCTTAAGATTTTGTTCAGGAGTGTGTATTTATTTTTTTAATTTAGGAGCATTACAAGATTACCTGACTAACGTGATGAGCCTGCAGTATACTGAAAAACCAGATTACACACTTCTGAAAGCTGGACTTCACGAGAGCTTACAGAAGATGGGTGGGAGTCTGAATGAATCACTGAATCTGCAGGTAACACATATTCCTATATTTAAACGACTATTCCTATATACTGTCTGCATATTATGATGCCTTTACATGTTGTTTGGAAGATCCTTCTTTCCAATTTTGAGGACGTATTTATGAGTATCACTTTCAAGTGCTTTATGGTCAGCAAGACTAGGTAACATAGTCCTCCAGTGTCCTCTCATGTATTTAATGCAAAACTGCAACAGCTAACAAGGTAGCTTTAAAAAATATATTGTTCATGTGCAACCTTTAAGTAGGCTACTTGTATTCATGAACGTGACAACAGCATGTGAAGCATTCACAGCATGTGAATCTCAATCTCACTTGTTTTGTTTTTTTATTTACAGGTGAAACCATAATCACAAGAGTTAGCAGGTGTGGAATGTGGATTTAATTGTTTTATGGAATGTTTAAGAAAGCTTTTATGTTTTTAAAATCAACTTTTATTGCCGTTTTTACAATGATATTGCTGTGCAGAATTTGCATGTTTTCTCTCATAGGTTGAGTTTTAATCACTGTGATGTATTAGAATTTTTTTAATAAAATGTTTAAAACATTGTTTAGTTTTAAGGGTGACTCTACTTTTTTGTGTTTTTTTTTAAACAACAAATCATTTCGTCCTGGTCTTGATACAACCATTACATGACATTACATGCCATCGGTGGAAGTAAAGGTTTTGTTTGTGGAAAAGGACATGTTCATGTTATAAAGGGAATTCTTTTTCGTATTTTTCTTTTTCATAAGTTGTATTGTGCCTTACTGAAAATAAACAACAGTACCCCAAAATGTACTTATCTTTGTTATTTATGATTATTGTTACCGCAAGGGGGTACCAACGATTCAAATGTATATGACTGTAGCGGAACTCAAATCGCCAGGTGTATTTTTCTACACGGAACGAAAATATAGCATCAATGTTCAATAAGGAGGCGCGAAGACTTTAACGCTTTGATAAACTCGTTTATCGTATTTACACAAGTGGACAGTAACAGATACACACCATGAATCCACCAAAGATTAAACGTCGCCGAATGGCTGAGCTGGAGCCGTGGATCGAGAAACTCATCCAAAACTACGGCCAAAGCCAGTGTGAAACGACTGTGAAAGCAAACGTTGTCGGCGTAAGTAGTCGTATATGTGTGATCATCTCTGTAGAGTGTCGTGTGAGTACTAAAGTGCGGGTGTGTGTTTGTTAGGTGTGTGATATCTCAGACTCGCAGCGGATGGAGCACACAGATGCCTGTATGCTGTTCATGTCCGATGGGAGCGCTGTCATTCCCGCGGTGCTGAGCGACGCCGGATGGGAGCGTCTGCAGGAGTGAGGGATTAAACCTCTGTTATGACACACCACTCACTACACAGCCCCTGTTTTTATCTCTTAACTCTTCTGGATAGTCGGGCCCAGTCAAAATCACGCTGAAATAACAAGAAGTATAATTATGAAGGTAGAATGACGTCAAACAGATTTGCATACGCAGGGTAAGAGTTGTGGAAGTGTACATAAGACTGTAGCCTAAGCGTAACTTAAATTTGCATGCGCAAGAGAAGCTTTGTAAAGGTGTAAATCGTGTCTTACCCTGCGTATGCAAATCTTTTTGAAGTCATTCTACCTTCATATATAATCTAGCTTTTACAAGGGCTGCATTGAAGCAACTGTTGCCTTGAATTTTGCACTTGCATGAGTGAATTTTAGAGAACAACAGGCACTACTTTTAGTTTAGTGTAATGATGGTAATTAAATCAAACTCAAACGTGACTGTCAGAGTTTTGTTCAATGTTTCTTCAGCTCGGAGGAGATGGAGTCTTTCACTGGCCTGCACAATGCTATAGTATATGTATGCAGCTTTGAGCTGAAATTCGACATGAACCCTGATCTGGTATGTTATATGTATGCAATTTTTTTTTTATCCCAAACTCTAAACTTTTTCATTTCAGTGCTGTGGCATTACTAATTGGGGAAAAAATGTCATGCCAATATAGCAGTGGCCTTTTTCAAACCAAGCAGCTATTGGATAGAGACAGAGCAGGGTCACACTAAAATATATTTCATAAATATGGCCTATAATTCATGCAGTGGCCTAAACGTTAATATTGTGTCCTATTAATGCCGTTAAATACTTATAATTTTGCTTATGTTGCAGAAATGTTAAAATATTTTTTTGTTGATTTTTAGAGTTAAATTTTAATTTAACTTAATAATTTTTAATGTGGGAGGGTTTGTAAAGCATTTAGCTGAATTTCTGCTTCATGGCAGTATCTGTGTTTGAAAATAGTTTAATAATGTATGTTTTTTTTTTTTTACTTGTCCGGTCTAGAAACCTCATGTAAATTCATACTTAATCTTAAAATTAAGTAGAAATTAAGAGTCCTGGCTCATGGTCACACCTCTTTCTTCCATATAATTCCATATTACTTCCTGTCTGCTCTGTAGTGCGCTATCCAAATAAACTTGCAAAATGCAAAAAAAAAGAGGAATATATGTTTTTCTAATATATTTTATTGGGTAGAAATAGTGATTTTTACAATATTAAAAACAAAATCCTCATCTTAAATCCTTTGGCTGCTGAATTGAAAAACCTGCATTAAAGCACATTAAAACAAAAACTGATACTACCAAATGAAACTGAAGAAGGTTATTTGAGTGGTGTTGGCTTGTGAATTCCAAACAAAGAAATTGTGTATGTGTTAAGGTGCAGTTACATTTAACATTGTTCAGGCACATTTTTGCAGGTGAAATGCAGTCATTTCAATAGGAATCTGCATAGTTGGGAATTCAGATTTCACAATGGTTTCAAATTGGTCACACAGATTCGCCATATTGACCAACAGAAATCTTCTTGTTTAAAAATGACTTGTGTAAGCTGTGCTTCATACAAAGCTACATTATTGATGATGGACCATTTTGTTCGCAAAATTTTGCCAAACCTTTGCTAATATGGCTGCACCTTTAAATACATGTTTGTATGGTTCATTTCTTTTTTCTTTGTTTGTTTGTTTGTTTGTTTTCAGGCATCTTGCCAGTTTTACTTGAAAGTCAATCAAATGAACATCATATGCATCTCCTCAAAGCACCAACACCCCCCCAGCTGGCAAGTCATTGATCTCTCTAAGCGTGCACAATGATGCGTCTAATGCACTAAATCATTATCAATTAACCTTTGTTAATCTACCTATCTTTCACTATCTTTCAGTACAACTATCCAATCAGTCAGAGATCAGATCATAAAGACGTGGAGGTGTGTTTACCTTATTTATAGTCTGTGTGAACACGTACATCACGCACAGAACTGCAATGTGTGTTTTTAAGATGATGTGTTTAACGGTTTGTGTTAATTGTATTGCTCTCTTTCAGATCCCGCAGGGAGGGTTCAGTCAGTTCAGCCTCTGGTAAGTATCACACACACTCTTTCTCTTTGTTTCTTTGTATAGATTGCATATACACACACCTCTTGCATTGAATGACTGTAATTTGGATTCTCAATACCATTTATAAAGCGAAGACATGTTCCGCTTCACAAAAATGATAAACACCTGCGTTATGTACCTAATTTACCAGGGGTCTCACTCTCATCTCTATTGGACGTGTGGCACAATGACATTATAATAAATATTCTGAATGATGCAACGGAGAAAATAACCATGTCTGCAACATATTGTCCAAGTGCGGCGACACCAACTCACTGGCACCGAGAGAGGCTTCACTGGAGGGTAAAGCTGCTTCCTTGGCAACTTAAAGGCACCAGCTGTGGACCAGACAAATTATCATTGCATATGGGTTTGTGTGTGTGTGTTTTCCAGGGACAGGAGCAGTTCATTGTCCCCGTGCCTTTTCTTCTCATCCCGGTGGAACAGAGGGAGCTGATGACAGCTGATCCCAGTACTGTCTGCTATCTAATTAATTGCTTTTTTCATGACAACCCTTTGGACATTCAACCAGATTTCCTGCATGTGGCGCACTGTGCATATGTGTTTTTGTCTCGTGTGTGCAGTTGCACATAGTGAGAGTGAGACACCAAATGACTTGGCCCCGCCCCCTGTAGAATCACATCCAACCAGCGCGTCGAGTGCAAACAAAACAATGGCTGCTCAGGACGGTATAAGTGTCTCATGTCCAGATGAAGGACAGTCTACTCTGGTACACACAAGACCAGGTGAGATTTTACAAAAGAAAGTCAGTACTGTTGCATGTGGATGATGTGTTATTAATCTCATCCCTTCATCTCCCAGAGGTTTTGTGTGGAATGGGGGAGCTGTCTGGGGATGGAGAGAGCCCATGGGATATGTTCACACAAGAGCCGGCTCTATTAGGTAGACGTTCCACCTCAGACTCAAATGGTAATTTCCTGTTCATACAAATATTTATTAAAATAACAGGGCATCATTGTAATTGTGCACTAATAATTTCAATCATTACTGTGCTGATACAGACCCAGAACATGAAAGTCAATCGCTTTTAAAGGAAGTCCCCCCGCTGCCTATAGCAACAAGCACCCAAGCCCAGTTCTCAAAGCAGATCTCAGGAGGGATGTCAGTGGATGGCATTACGCTCAGTCAGAGACCAAAACCGACTCAGTTTAGTCCTTCCCACTCGAGCGATAAGTCTTCCAGAGACCCCAGTCAGGAGCAAGACAAAGACTGTGCGCTGAGTCCTCCCTCGTGGCTCGTCCATAATACAGCCCCACCCTCTGAACAGAGGCCCTTAGCGTCTCCACCTGTCGGGCCAGTGCCCTCAGCTTCTCCACCCACCAAAGCCAGGAAAGTGAGTGTAAATGATATTAAAGATATTTTGCTGTGTCCGAGCAGGGCAGTGTGGCTGATTGTGTAATATAATATGATTAATGCTTTCTGTGGGACTAACCAAATTAAGAATATATCTAATCCTAATCTATTTGTGCATTGCATCAGAAATGTTGCTACATTGTCCCAGCTTCCCTGTTGCAGGCGCACTCAGATGGAATGCCTTTTTCCTATTTGTATCATCCACAGCCTCAGGTTGCCACAGCCCTCAGCCATTTCCAGTGAGTATGATGTGTTCCCCACTGAGACATGCTGATTATAATACACTTGTAATGTGATGGCCTATTATCTAAGAACTTTGTTTCACAGTTTTGTATTACTGTAATTACACAATACCAGTCAAAATTTTGGACGTATATATATTACTGACTCCAAACTTTCCACAAAAATATTAAGCAGCAACTTAAGTTTTTAAGTTCGAAAATAATCCAACAAGTCGCTGAATTTGTCCGCACACTGAAATTTTTTTCCAATCAGACCAAAAATGTCGTTTTTATTATCCATATGCAAAAGTGACAAAAGTGGAAAGTGTATTAAAAACAGACCAAAGAGCAGACGTTTCAGCCCATGCTTTCTTCAGTGCATGAGCAAAACTCAGTGCATTGTGAAAAATTAAATTTTTGAGAGACCTTTTTTGGTCTGATTGGAAAAAATTTTCAGTGCGCGGACAAATTCAGCGACTTGTTGGACTAAAACTTTCTCCCTTTTGCTCTACGCACCTGATAACTCATTGTTCTTTTTGAGTGCACACAATCCCTGTTTGATAACTTAGAAAATAATGAAATGTTTCTCAAGCAGCAAATAAGCATATTAGAATGGTTTCTCAAGGATCATGTAACCCTGAAGATTGAAGTACTGGCTGCTGAAAATTCAGCTTTGAATGACAGGAATTAAAAATATATTAAATATAGAAAATAGTTATTTTAAATTGTAATTATTTTAAAGGGATAGTTCACCTAAAAATTTATATTAGCCCATTATTTACTCACCCTCAAGCCATCCTAGGCGTATATGACTTCCTTCTTTCAGATTAATTAAATCGGAGTTATATTAAAAATTGACATTGATCTTTCAAGCTGTTTAATGGCAGTCAGCGGGTGTTGCAGTGCATCAGTCCAAAAGAAGTGAAATAAAGCGCATCCATCCATAATAAAAAGTGTCTCACACGGCTCCGGGGGGGTGAACAAAGGCCTCCTGTAGTGAATCGATGCGTTTTTGTACAAAAAATATCCATATTCAAAACGTAATAATCACTTTCATTTAGCTTGCACCAACAGTTGTAAACGGAAGCAGCTACGGGCTGATGACGTATGAGGTCAGCATTGCGCATGCGCCGGTGAGTCTCGTGAAAACCAACGTTTGTTAACAGGAGCAAAGGAAGCAAAGTTTCCTTAC